CATCCCACTGCATCTCAAGTTTTTAAATGAAGAAAGTACTCTTTGTGATTGGTTTTCGGTCCTTTGTATTAAACTATACATACACGCATGCTGCTGTCTTGTTTCTAATTGTTTAAGCAACTTTAATTATATAAGGTTTATAAACATTATTTTAAACATTATGCACTTTTTTCAAAGATAGTCCCAGTAGCCCCTCACTGCAGAACACAAGATAGTCATGTTATTTTATTATGCATTGAAGAAACGTACAGAATATTTTGTTCGATGCGCCCCCTTGTGGACTCAGGAGAGAAGCCAAAAGCTTTTTTCCCCCTAACTGTCTGAAATTATGCTGAAAATTCAAATTTAGTTTTTCAGCCATTTTGACAGCCCTAATAAGCATGTTCTATTTCCATATTTGCGAATGGTATCCACACATCACCATTACATTTGATAAACAGATTTAACTGCATTTGTATATGCTGCTCTACAGGAAATAGTGGCCAACCAGAACCCAAAGTGTCAAAAAATCTCTAGAAAGTGTGAACTCAGGTAGGCATTGAGGCAAATAAATGAATTTCATTATATTTACAGTTAATGTCTACTTTTTATGCAAATAAAATAAATATTTGCCATATTTTCGGTCTTGTATGTTAAAAAAAACAAGTGCATCTAGTGTCTCAAGATCCCAAGCCCCTAACAACCCCCTAGGTGACCGTGATTTCACCAAGTACAACATGTTCCTGGATCAACATCCTTGTTGATCCTGGAACAACATTCCTATCAACCAATCAGAATTGAGGGATAACTTTTCAGGAAATATCTGTTTTAGGCTTACAATCAGGGTTAGGTGCTTCTACACCCTTGTTAATCAGCTATCATTTCACACTGTTTTAGGAATAAATTATGGGTAGGGTTAGGTTTAGGGGTAGGGATTGGGTTAAGTCTATATTTTTGGACAGTTATGTTGATCCAGGATCAACAAAAGATGTTGATCCAGGAACATGTCTTACTTGGCAAAATCACCGCGACCAAAGTTATGTGTTATGCGTTCCAAAATCACAAATACATTTATTTGGTTTATTATCCTGCTTCCCTGTATTTGTCCATTGAATGTGTGAAGAATGTTTTCCCCAGTAAACTCTGAATTTAAATTAACAATGCATGATTGTGATCAGAGTATATAGTATAGTTATGAATATAGTAGACTGTTAGTGATATCTACCAAGACTTAACATAATGAAGATACTTTCTCAGTCAACACGCATAATCAAAATCAGTATATGGTGAAGTAGTTCTAAATTAAGAACAAGTAACTTAACGAATTCACGAATAATTTAAATAATAAACTATTTTTAAGCGCTTATAATAGTGCAATAGCGTCATAAAGCCATCTGCCCCCAACTCCTTCCGTATGCAGAGCAGTTCTGCTTATGCAGCTGTCGTTTTGAACGCAAGTTTTCGACGGCGCTATGAGGACTTTAATTATCAGAAATCTTTCGGACATCTTTTGAGTAATATGCATTCCGACGCTGCTTTCGTCAGTCTATGCATTCTTATCACAAATGGTAAGCCGGATTGCATTTCATGTTGGGTGGTCTTGACTGGAAAAGCCCGCAAATATGTAGGCTAAATACAGTATGCCTATGCAAATAATCTTTTATATGCGCGTGTGTGTGTGTGTACCGTTACTATATTCAAATTTTGATATTAATTTAAACCACTCCTTTTATCCTTGTTTGTTTATGACAAAGATTTTTCCTTTGTTTGAATTTGTTTCAGGTGTGTTTGATGTTAAAACAGATGAAGTGAAGTCAGTCACAGTGCTGGAGGGAGATTCTGTCACTTTACACACCGATGTTAAAGTACAGAGAGATGATCAGATACGGTGGACGTTTGGACCTCAAAACACTCGAATAGCTGAAATCATTAAAAGGGACCAAATAAACTTTATTTTTGTCAGTAATGATGGGAGATTCAGAGACAAACTACTGATGGACAATCAAACTGGATCTCTGACCATCAGAAACATCAGATCTGATCACACTGGACTTTATAAACTGACCGTCATCATTAGTGGAGAAACCTCATTGAAGAGCTTCAGTGTTACTGTGTATGGTGAGTAAACTGTACTCTCACTAATGCTAGGATTGTTCATTAATGTTTAATTCTGAACTCTAGCATGTTGTATAAAAGTTTCTAAATGTTAATTCAAATGCCAGAAACTATGAAATGACCAACCAAATGTTGAGATAATAATTCAGCTGCTTAAATGATCAATCCGTGTCTTGGAGTAGATACTGTACAAGCATTAATTTCGTTCTCAGCCTTGCATTTAAAATTTTGGTTTCTTTTTGATTAGACTTGCAAGAAAACCTCTGCATCATGTTATTTTTTGTTGTTGTTTATTGATAATACTGAGATAACACTTACTTTTACTTGTTCTTTCTACATTGTTTTCCAGCTCCTCTTTCCACTCCTGTCATCTCCAGTAACTCTTCAAACTGTTCTTCATCATCTGAAAGATCATCAGTGTCCAGATGTTCACTGCTGTGTTCAGTGTTGAATGTGAGTCATGTGACTCTCTCCTGGTTCAAGGGAAACAGTTTATTGTCCAACATCAGTGTGTCTGATCTCAGCATCAGTCTCTCTCTACCTCTGGAGGTGGAATATCAGGGTACAAACACCTACAGCTGTGTGCTCAATAATCCCATCAGCAACCAGACTCAACATCTGGACATCACTCAACTCTGTCAGACATGTGCAGGTGCGTCAGCTGTGATTAATCTCCTCACTTGTATTGATATAAATATGTGACCTGTGCTGGCAAAATGAGTCACAATGAGCACATTTTCAAATAATGTAAAAAAATATTTTTTACATTTTCCATTAAAAGACCTTCAAAATGATATATGAGTTGTTGGAATGATGACTGAAAAATGACTGAGCTACACCCATTTGAAGTCGATAAAGTCAGCAAAGTCCATTTTGAGAAAAACTGATTTAAAGTTTTCTGAAGGTTCCAAAGCAAAATCACCTAGCAACATTAGAGTGTACACCCATTACTAACAGGTGCGCAAATCTTTACAAATATGTGTAGACAGAAATGGATTAGTATGACAAATAAATTCAGTGGAATTTAGCAACAGACTGAAAAGGCTCCAGTTTGTCAGTTGACAGTAAACCAACCTGTGATTCACAAATGATGGTGAATCTTTATCTTGTTTAAAATGTGAGGTAGTAAAATCTCCTGTAGGTTACTGTGTAGTGATGTTACATCAAACACCTGCTGTTTGAACTTGCCAAACAATAACACAAAATGATGACTTGTCAATAATTTAAGTTTCCTACACAGTTCATATATTTACTCCCTGATAAAATGTTTTATAGAGACACAATTGTTCTAATCACTAATCTCTAAAATAAATATATTAGATCAAGCTTTATTTATATTGATATTGTACATATCTTATAGTGACACTGTTTTACTCCCTTTGAGATAGACATCAAGAGGGAAACTTTCCTGCTGTTGTCTTGTTGCTGCTTTATTGTACTTGTGCATATATTTGCATGATCATTCATGCATGTGTGTGCAGATCATGTCATATATGTTGCAGATTGACTAGTTGCATGAAGACTTGCTTTATCACAAACTACTCTGTCTGTGATTGTGAGATACCGCTCCCTTTTTACACCATTTGTTTCAGTATTTTAATATATATCTTAAAGTTATGTGTGGCTTTGAGATTTGTCAGTTTGGATGTGTGTGAGCCATCTCATTCGCTGATTTTTTATTTCAATTCTGAATTCTTTATAGGAAATACCATTTTAGGTATAATGTCCCTTTCAGAACTTCCTCGTATAAAATGAGCTTTTATTGAAATTAAGCTGTGAAGTTCCTCAGTTCTGTCCCACAAAAGAAGGCATGAAAGTATATTCACAGACTCTGTAACCAATAGCGTCAATGATAAGAGTTGAAGGGATGAATGAACATCTTGTTTAGTTTTCTAGAGCGGTTGTCGCTGTTCTTGAAATTTTGGAAATCTTGAAATTTCAGGCAAAATGGCAGTTTGAGAGCTAAGCGTCTTACTTTCAACTCTGTTAATCAGTTTAATAATGTGACAAATTTTCTGTCTGTATTTTGTTATTCTCAGAAAGATTTACTTTCTTCAGTTTTGTGATTGTGGCATCAACACGATTCATGATTTTATCTTTGTGATTATTTTCTCACAGAAACCTAATGGAGAAGATAGCATAGTGTACTCAAGTGTTGCAGCACCTAAGGAGCACAATTTGCAATATTTTGTGATGTTTTGTCTTAAAAAGAAAAAAGAAAAAAAAATCTAACTGCCATATAGAGCAGTGCTTCTCAACTGAAACTGGTGATTCATGAACACAATATTTTGGGATATATGTGAGGGATGCAATGTTGCATGCAGACATTAAAATGCAGCATGTAAAAGTGAAATCATTTTTTTTTTTTAAGCCTATGACAAGTGATTTGGAAAGTGGAAGGATTTAGAAACTTAAATAGCTATCATATTCAGCCTATTTCATGTTAATAATGATTTGCAGCTCATATTAATCCATTTCAGCATTTGATCGTATTTTATTATTGTCTCTTTAGTATTATTAGCAATTTGGGTCAAATGTCTGATGTAAAACTTGGGTCCTCGAATGAAACCAGTTGAGAACCACTGAGGTAGAATACAAATGTATTATTTTTTAGTTACAGTATTTATTTCCACACTGCCATTTCATTATTGTGTTATTCATCAAACATCAAAGAAAAGTCAGACTTTCAGCTGAGTTTTCGAAGACCATTACTGACAGATAACAGTACGAGGAGCCATGTATTTTAGGGATTTCCTATTGACACTTTGAGACACTCTGGTAGCTCCTGAACTAATCTGTCTTAAAAAAGGTCTGAGAAAAAGTGGATTCAGTAACAGCTTCATAATGCACAAGAACTGCCTACATAGCTGAGTTAACTTGTCTTGACTTGATCACTTGAGCTCATGCTACAGCTGCCTTAAAGTTTCAGTGTTTGTGTATTTTATATTTCTTATTTACATTGTGATTCTACTGTCAAAGGCAGAGTAAAAATTTTACAGAGATGCATTGTAAAACATTGTGGCCACAACACAAAGGAGTTAAATACCAGTAACAGTCAAAGCAAAACCAATCCATCATTCAGAACTCTAAACACTGTGTGCATAATATTAATGGCAGAGATGAAGCTCATCGAAATTCCTTATCGATAGGAACGTTTGCTTCGAAGTGCTCATATCACCGTGCTCAACATGCTTCCACACGTTTGGCTTTTCTCTTTTTTTCTTTTGGCGGGGTCTTTAGGCGGGAACATGTTGAGGTTCAGACTCCGAGTGGGTGGAGCAGCTCCAAATGGGTAGGACTATAGACGACTATATACTGTAAATGGCTTGTACTGAAGGTCAAACCTAACCCCACCTGTAAATTTGACCCCACTAACTTGAGGGTCTCTGCCTACATGTGGCAAAGGCCTCTTCCACTTGGAGGATACCCAAGCTGCAGCAACATATAGGCCTACTTGGCATTCTCTGGCAGGTACATGCTTTTCATGCTGGAGAACTGTGCAGAATATTTATGTGAAACTCACAGGATTATGTTTGACATATTGCTTAGGTCTGGTTTAGTATTTTATGAAATTATTTACATTGTGATTCTACTGTCAAAGGCAGAGTAAAAATTTTACAGAGATGCATTGTAAAACATTGTGGCCACAACACAAAGGAGTTAAATACCAGTAACAGTCAAAGCAAAACCAATCCATCATTCAGAACTCTAAACACTGTGTGCATAATATTAATGGCAGAGATGAAGCTCATCGAAATTCCTTATCGATAGGAACGTTTGCTTCGAAGTGCTCATATAACCGTGCTCTGGTGACACCTACTGGTCAAAATTATGTAAATATCACGAGAGCACAGCCATAGCATGTAGATTCGTAATAATGACACCTTATAAAAACCAAATAGAGATGAGTTCATGAATGTACAAATGTAATCTAAACTACACTACTATGTAGTGTATGTAATTTGTGTATTTTGTAGTGCTTGTTTTGAGTGTTTTAGGCCAATCAGTGACAATGTTAGGCTACTCTTCTTTAATTAGGCCTATACATAAAGTGCTTCTCATTACTAAATGACATGTTATTTGTGTTTCCAATATCAAACGTCATTTACATTTACGCACCTCTTTAAAAGTTCAGTAAAACACCATACTCATAAAAGATGAAAAAATATTCATAAAAGACGGACAAACGGCAGAATACCCAATGCAAAAAAGGACCGCACATTAGGTTGAACTGCTCGTCTTCATTCCAGCTGCTCTCTTTCTGTTGTTATGAACACAGAACATTTTTGAAATGTATGGTTTCCTTAATAAAAGAGTAAATGAAAAAAGATACACATGCATTATAAGAAATTAAAATTTGAGATGGACAAAATACAAAAATCATAAGGAAGCATAAGGATTTGAATTATATTATTATTATATTAGTATATTATATAATAGTATATAATACAACTTTTGGTTTCACTTTATTTTGATGGTCCCTTTAACACATTCTGTTGACTATAAGTAGCGTTGCACCTACATATCATTAACTCTCATTAGAGTATTAGTAGAGTATTAGTAGACTGGTAGGGTTGGGTTAGAATAAGTTGACATGTATTTGCAAAGTTACTTATAGTCAGTAGAATGTCTGTTGGGAGACCATCACAATAAAGAGCTAGCAGATATTAAGTAGACAGGCTACTAACACTCTAATGAGGGTTAGTAGACATGTAGGTGTAGTGTTACTTATTGTCAACAGAATGTTCAAAAGGGACCATCAAAATAAAGTGTTACCCAACTTTTTATATATTGTTCATTTGGGAACAACCCATGGAAATGGAGAGCAGTGATACATTTTCTCTCCAGTGTGGATCCTCTCGTGTGATTTCAGATGATCTGACAGTTTGAATCTCTTGTCACAGTGTGAACACTTGTAAGGTTTTTCTCCAGTGTGAGTGCTCTGGTGCAGTTTCAGTTCAGAATCTCTAACAAAAGTCTTTCCACACATATGATCCTTCACACCACTGTGTCTTTTCTGGTGTACTTTTAAACTACTTATTTGACCAAAACCCCTTCCACAAAAACAACACACGTAAGGCTTCTCCTTTGTATGAACTTTCAGGTGGTCCTTCAGCGCATCTGCCCTAAAAAAATTCTTACCACAGTAATCACGGTTAAATGGTCTTTCTCCAAAATGAGAACGCAGATGTGATTTAAAAGTGCATGACTTTATGAAACTCTTCCCACACTGATCACATGTGAAGGGTTTTTCTCCACTATGAACTCTAAAGTGAAGTCCCAGACTTCGCTTGTTTGAGAAACTCTTCCCACAATGAGGGCATGTAAAAAATGCTTGTTTTCAATGAAAAATTACGTAGTGTGTGAGCAACTCAAACATTTTTCTTCAATTTTGACCTGAAGTTTCTCCTCCACTTCACTCAGTTCTTCACTCTTTGCATTCTCTTCCATCAGGTCTAAAATTAAAGTAAAAAAGTTTCATTTTTAATAAATGTGAAGGAAAAGGACATACAAGTGAACCTTGAAATAATACAACAGAAATTGGAAAAATGCTATACAATATTATGCAAAAGCGTAGCATTTAAAAAAACAGAGCACATCTTCAAATTCAAAATGATGTCACTATGTCCCACAGGAAATGACATCATTTGG